AAAAAAAAAAAAAAAGAAAAGGATGGAGATAGAGAATCTGTTAGGCAGTTACAGCTATGCAGTAGTCCAGATAACAGATTATGAGTGACTTAGCAAGAGTTTTTGTAGTGACCAAGGAGGTGTACTATTTTCCAAAGGGAAGAAAATTTTATTCACAGCTACAACTTTAGAGTGGCTCCTATTAAATAAAGATGTATCTGCTGATCATATTTGCTCATTTGTGTATGCAACAGTAGAGCCAGACCTGCCTTTGGGAGGAGGGTGGAAAGAGCTGAAATTGCAGTACATGAAAGAGTGAAAGAATTCAGAATTCTCAAGAGTAATCTAGGAGGGTGGTAATGAAGCAGAATCATGAGAAGAAAGAAGGGATAAAACAAGAAAACAAAATAGCCAGTGGGAATAAATTTTGGTGGTAAGTTAGCCAGAGGATTTTTTTTTATCACAGGGCATCTAATATTCAATATGAAGTTGTTTGTGTTGCTATAATGTCAACCTCTTCTTCTTTTCCCAAGATTTCACGTAGTATTGAATCTGTGGAAGTTAAGAATGAGGGCTGATGTGGTCAGTGTAGTTTGGAATAGTGGCATTAATCATAAGTTTGCAAGAGGCATGCCTAGAGTATGAAGCTGAAGAGGACCATGAGCATACAGGCCTTCAGCCCCCACCCCTCCATCCAGGAATTCTCAGAAACCTTGCATAAGACTTTAAGCTATCATGGAGGGAATGAAGTTTTCAGTCAACTTTATTTGGATCTTAGATATAAGTTTATATACCTTTATATGAGAAATATTTTTTCTCATGTCAAGTAAAATGACATACTAGAAGATACACCTTTTTATCCTGAGACTTTGGGGACCCTCTGACTCTCCAGCAGAGCAGTGTGCTCATTTTTTGAAGGATCACACTACCCTCTTCATCTTGGTGAGTTTTGCCACGCCACCCCAATCTGATTTCCACCTCTACTGTCCCATGAACTTGCTGTCACCAAGGTCAAATTCAGGTA